GTACAGGTTTCAAAGATATTAGGGTAAAATTACAATTATCTGTAATTTGGCTACATATAGATCATTTTTGTTCAAGGTGGTCAGGTGTATTCTCCTGATCACAATTTAGTTCATATACCGTTAATATAAATTTATATAAATATGGCATTAGTGAGCCCTCATTCCTAATAAAACAGGTAAAACTTAAATTAAAATCTATTAACAGTAAATAGAAATTTTCTATAAATATAAACCATTTATAGAGAAATGAAGGGTCAGCCAAATGAGTTCAATGTTAACAGGTATTCACATATTAACGGTATATTAAACGGACTAACAATGATATTGCTACATTTTACCACAAAATTACTTTTTAAACAAATAACTTTAAATCAGATTATAGCACACATGATGCTAACTTGACATTATAAGAATTATGGAAAATTAATAAGTAATTTATCTCTTTTAGAAGTTCTGGATTTTGATTATTATTGCCATTCATTTACTTTAACCAGTAATTACAAATTCATTACTTGATATCTTATGCACAGAAAGTATTCTGGTATGTAAATGATATCTAATATATAAGTAAGTCATGACTAAGTTTCTTAGTTACAGATCTTAAGAATAAGTTGAAATTTGTAGATATTGTAAGGGGGTTAAGGTAGACTTGACTTTTCAAATCATATAAGCAATGAATTGATTGATGGGATAATGTGTGAGAGCAGTGAACAGCAAACTAGATGTCAAGCCTTGGATTCAGTGGCTGTAAGTGACTGATGAAGAGTACACAACACGTGCTCTACTAATACGAGTGGAAATAGCGGTCGGAATGCATGGAGAGGTGTGAGAAATAAGAGGTAAGGAACGGGACTTACTATACTTCCATCCATATCAGAGTCGTTGTGATCCATTTGATAGGAGGGGACGGGGGCTCTGTTTTTGACACGAATTTTGAATACTTTTACCCAAAACCACAGCACAGAAGAAAAAATTGAAAAACAAATAATCAAATAATGAAATCACAGCGGGTTTCAGCACTAAAGGAGTAAAATGTACATCAGTTTCAGAGAGGGGTGTTTACTCTCCCAGCGCTACATAAATATATTCATATAAAGTTTCAATATATATATTCATATATAAGTTTCATATATATATAGTCATATATAATGTAAGTTATATATTCTGAGAAACTTCAAGCTTTCACACCAACCAATACGCTATACAATCAGTCCTTAGACTGCGTGCAACAAACATAAGCAATGGTTAGGCAGAGTGTGGCAGCTATTTGAGCACTAAATTCTGTGCCGAAACTCCACCAACTCCTCAATGACGTCCCAATGGGAACCGGCCTATCATGTGCCACAGTCTGCCACTGTTACCACCATCTCAACCATCACTGAACTTTATTGGCTCTCAATATCACTATTCAATTCAATTCAATTCACTCCACTTAACCATTAGATACAACACTCATTGAACGAGAATTACGCCAAATCCACTCTCCCATCCCATTCACTCATTTTGCTTACCTGTAGTTCACATCAAGTCTTACCAAATAATCATAACTACTATATACATGTATTTAAATGTCATCAATGATACTTTTCTCATTCAATAAAATAATAAACATTTTGTCAAAAGTAAAGCAAATAAACAATAATTCCTATTTTATATGTAATAATTTAACATTTCATAAATGCTACATACATATAAATTATAAATCTTTAAACTAATTGATAAATTTAATTTCAATTCAATATTCATTTTTATTTTTAATTACAGAATATAAGTAAGAAGTTTTTGTTAGATAATTATTCTCTCTCTCTCTCTCTCTCTCTCTCGTATTTTGTCTATTTTTTATTCTTAACACCAGAACCGATGCTTTACTATCATTAATAACAATCGTAAGCATTAAAAGTTATTTTTAGCGAAAGAATCGTTTAATAGATGTTGTGGTAGAAGACTATGCAATGGAGAGAAAAATGAATTCTAGGAATTAAAGCATCAATTTTTAAACATATAAGACATGGAATATGTGAATATGTGTTGTCTATATAGTAGACCGCATGCCATATGACGCCAAATAATAATACTTTCTTAGATTATATGTATTTTCAAATATAATTGAGATTATATTTATGTTGTGAGCCTTCAGTTAAACCCTATTTTCATATCTCCAAAACTTTTTATGGGCTTTTATGAGGTTATAAATTCAAGTTCTCTCCCCTTTATATCATTTCTTTGAATCATTTTATGAATTTGTTTGGAGGAGGAGTTGAGCCAAAATAATGACAGAAAGAAGAGAGTAAGTGGAGAGNGAAATCTTTTTCTGATCAATTACTCAAATAGTCGTTTAATGATATACATAATCGATAGCCATTGTGGTGGAGAGAGAGAGAGAGAGAGAGAGAGAGAGAGAGAGAGAGAGAGAGTCAGTGCACATAAGAAATTAATGATTAAATTCTATTTTTGGGTTTTATTAACGAATAATCTTTTTCTCCGTTCTTTAAAACTGAAAGAATATTTTTAAACAAAAGTAAAAATACTATACCATATGCTATAATAAGATTTTCTGTTATATTTTAGTTGTATTAACGTTATATAATCAAATGAGTATAATATTAAAAACTTAATATTCATATACTTTGTACAATAATTCATTTATTTGATTCAGGTTTTTGACACAATTCTCTTCACTTTTTCAGTCAAAAAGCAAAAAAACTCTAACGAAAGACATGAAACTGTTTAATATCAGTGATTGCATCAATTTTTTCATAATTTTTAAAAACATTTTTGCCAAGAATTATTAATTAAAGGATATTAACATTTACTCTTAACATATAGCTGGAAATTTGTTTGCATTTACATAATTAATGAGAAAATAAATAATTTTTAAAATATTTTTCATGTTTTAAAATAACTGATACTAATTACTTTTCTTAATACATATAAATTCATTAAATTTTGTTTAAATTGTTTTTATATATGAATTTTGAATCGAAATGTTTAGCAAATATTCACGACTGCCTCTTTTGATATTCAAAAGATTAAAAATGATGTAAAAATTCAATTTAAATAGCAATACACTTGAAAATTAATTTAGAAATAGTTTTCGAGATATAATTTTCAGCATAAAAACTATTTCTCTGCATTTAATTAATATAGTAAACAATAAACGGCAAACTCTGTTGAAAACTTTGCAAACGTTTAATGTATTTGTGTGTGCTTTTCACCACCTTTCCAGTGCACGCTGGGCAATTTTTGATTGTGAAATATATTTCGTCACGTTTGTATAGTTACATCCCTGTCCATAACAGGTAGGGATGATTTGCGAGTCCTGTGTAATAGAGGAAATGTAATGCAGTTAAATAATACTAGTATAGGCAACAAATCACTTAATACTAATTGTTATGCTCTAACAGTTGTGAACTGAATTTGAGAATCCATTAATACTTTGTATTTTAATATATTATAATATTAATAGGTAAAAATAAATTTCAGTTTTTCGATATATACAGGTATATAATTATCATTAGTTTAAGTTCAGTTGTGTTAAGTTAAGAATCATAACCTTTCATTAAACAATTGCATTGGTTGATATATGAAAATAATTAACTAATTTCAATAAACTCTTTTTATATACAGTACTATTTACATTTTTACATTTATTTTTATAACAAATCTGGTCTTTGCTTATGAGTACAAATAAGTTAAATATCAGTAATTTAAAACTATACAATATCATAATTCCACTACAATAAGATTGATATATTAAAGTTTTTATCTAATTTTTTATTTCTGGAATACTCTAGTTATATTTGAATTGTTTGAATCTATATCATATTTTTTATATGTATATATTTAAAATATTGAAAATATAATATTTCTAAGAATATTAAGAAATTCACCAACATACCAGTAGTTTTATGTTACTTTCATGGAATTTCTAAAATAATATATTAATTATATAAATTGTATATAATTATAACTAATTATAATTGCGATTTGATTTTTTCAACACAACGACCCGGAATATAATATTTTATATTTAATATAGTTTTCCTCGTAATCATGAGAAATATAGTAAATCTCAGATTTAAAATCTGATTTTTATAAACTTATATTTTGAATTTAAAAATATAAGAAATTATTTACAGTAAGAATTCTACGAATTTCGTGTAGTTAGGTTTGAATTTTTGCTTGAATTACTAAAAAAATCTAATTAGTAATTTATTTCATTTATTATTAATTGAATATTTTATCACTTACAACCTTAAATATTGTTTAATCATAATCCAGCCAATGTTTATAAGCATATAATCCAAATAAATGCCATCTATTAATGTTGAATAAGCTACTGTACATATTAATTAAATGTTTTAAAACAAATACATGTTATATAAATCACATAACTATTCAACTATCGTTACAAACAATAAAATAATTTTAGAAAATCTATAATTATGCATTTAAATATATTGATCAAATATGTTGATTTCTTTGATGTTCAAAATAATTGGTATAAATGAATAAAATAACTTAAATATCAATAGTAAATAAACAAAAAGTAGATATACCCGTATACTATACTTTAACAAGTACTATATCATAAATCTGAAAACTGAATTTTTTGTAGTAGATAGTAATATAAATATTAAAAATAATGCAAATAGTATAATCAAAGAAATTGTAAATTCTTTGTAATGATAAATAAATTTAAAAGGGTTTAATTGTGTTTTTAAGTTTAGCAAATATACAGAAATTAATTGAAAGTAAAGTAAAGTTAACAAACTTTAAGTGACTTAAAATATAATATTTAAAAAATATTCTTGTTTAATCAGAAATGTATTATATTTAAAAACTACAACAAAATTACATTGGATCATTTGATAAAATCATTTCAATTAAAAATGATTGAATTATGAATTTATAAATTGAAACAACTTTTATAAAGTTTTACTAAAAGTATTGCAAACATAGAGACGTTATTTGTATGAAATGTTTATCAATTGATTGACTGATAAATGAGTGCAAAGTCTGTGAAAGTCTTTCAATTGAATTAAAAGTCTTCACAAATCACTTGATTTTGATTTTGTGTTAATTTGCGGACAAAAACAATGTTTCGCTTATATTTGAGACACAAATGCCTTTCCGTTGGACTTAATGTCAGTTAAAAGCAATGAGATATCAATTGAACTAACGATTGAATGGTTTGTTGCAGAGGTTGTCATCAAGTGGTGAGAGATGTGATCACCGGATGGCCAGCACTTTGGTGATCGTCGACCACAACAACTCCAACCTCTCGAAAGTCACTTTGAATACCATTAGTGCCGCCAAACAGATCGGTCCCGACGTGTCGTGTCTAGTCTTCGGCACCAAAGTGTCAGAAGTGGTCCAAAGTCTGTCGAAAGTGAAGGACATTAAGAAGATATTAGTGGCAGAAAACGATGTCTTCAAAGGGTTTTTGCCGGAAGTGTTGGCGCCGTTAGTGGTGTCCACACAAAAACAGTTCAATTTTACACATATTATGAGCGGATCCACAGCTGTTGGAAAGGTTTGTATTTTGAGACAACAAATGGTCGTTTGTATTGAATAGTCATGTGATTGATTGCATTTAATCAGAATCTGATCCCAAGAGTGGCCGCACAGCTGGACGTATCGCCCATTTCTGAGGTAACGGCCGTCAAGAGTGAGGACACATTTGTGCGACCCGTTTATGCGGGAAATGCTTTGCAAACCATTAAAGTCTTGGACGCAATCAAAGTGCTGACAGTCA